TGGGGTAGGCCAAGGCGAGGCAGGCCACGGCGAACAGTCCGATGGGGATGTTGAGTCCAAAGATCCAGCGCCAAGTGATCTTGGAGACAATGACACCGCCCAAGATGGGGCCAAGAAGGAAAGCCGCGGCGAGAGTGATTCCGATGATGCCTCCCATCAGAGCTGGGTTGTGGGCAGGGCCTTGCTCGAGCAGGCAGGTCTGGGCGAGGCTGTATAAGCCCGAGCCCCCGACGCCCTGAAAGGCGCGGCCAATGATCAAGAGAGTCATGCTGTTCGCGCCAGCACACAGAGCCGAGAAGAGAATGAAGACCGCCCAGCTGTAGAAGAGCATGGCTCGGCGACCGTAAATGTCACTGCACTTGGCAATTCCGACAGCGCAGCCCATGTAGGTGAGAAGGTAGACGAGAAGGACGAAGGATGCGTGATGGTAATCGCCAATCTCCTCAGAGATGGCGATAAGGGAGGTAGCGATGATGGAAGTATCGAGCGTAGCGAGGAACAGGCCCACGAGAAGGCTACTTGGTCAGCTAGGTTCGCGAGTATGCTGCAATTTCCTTACCTGATGACGATCAAGATCTTCTCAATCTTGTGATGGCGAAGGCTCGCAGCAGAGTACTCAGCACCGCGGCGGCGAGGAGTAAAGTTCTCGACAGCGAAGCCAGCTGTGTCGCCCAGAGACGGGTTGGGATAGGAGAGCTGGTCAGCCATCTCGCGACGAGGAGGAGACTGGGCGGCCATTGATGCAATGGTCTCGACGATGGATGACGGCGGTTTTTGTTGTCGTGGGAGCGGAATGGATCAAAGCTTTGCGATTTTCTTCTTCTCTCAGGGGCAGAAGATGGAAAGATGCCTTCGAATCTTACCGATAGTAATATTCGGAGCTTGATTCCAGCTTGTCCTGAAGAGAGGTATGACGATGAGGCAGATATTTTCTGAAGAGCAGAGGGGAAAAAGAGAGATTGTGTGGGTGTGGTATGGGGAGAGAAGGTGTCTGGGTGGTGGAAACCTGGCCGAGGAAGGTCTCTGAGGATACCTGACTGCTCTCGCCTCGATGGGTTTAAGGGCTGGCTTGCTTTTCCTGATGGATAAGGAAAGAGAACTGGTAACAAGACGGTGCTCGGCCTTGTGCCTGCCTGTCCTTGGGGCCTTTGCAGAGTTGATCGAGGAAGGTAGACGTGGGCCTTGGCTGGTAATTGAACTTTTGGTTACCTCAACGATGCAACAATGAGGCAGGTGGTGTGAGAAGGAGAGGAACACTTTGAGGGTACGTGTGTGCGTGTGTATGTGTGAACACACATCCCCCTTTGGTGTGAGGACTTTTAGCGGCAGCAAGGAGCAAACGAGGTAAGCAGCTGCCCATCCTCTCCAACTTGGACAGTGGCTGCAACACATAGTTATACTGACTGAAGCTCTTTGCCGTCATGTTGACAGTAGAAGAAGGGCATCAAATGCACCTATCCATGATGCCCGAGACAGTGGTTTTCCTAGAGGCTTGCTCATCCAGCCTAGGCCAGGGTGAGAATGAGATTTTCTCTGACAGTTCCACCTTGGGTAGGCGAAGATACGGACAATGACGGGTGCTGTGCCAGGTAGGACAAACAGCTTGAAAGCGTCAAGACTGTGAAGCATAAGTTGTAGTAGTTGTTCGCGTGCCCTGTGCCCTGGCCTCGCTCGGTTGTGGCAACGAAGACACTATGTTCCGAGACAAAGGCTTTCTTGCTTGAGAATGGAGGCCGAGGAAAAGCCAGGGGCAGATTGATGACTGTGCATCCCATCAAAGGGGAGAAGGCAAGCCATTGGTAGGATGCGTCAGGCAAATGTCCCAGTTGCTGGTCTCTCAGAAATGGAAATGCTGCTACTGGGGTGACAGGAACAGGTCCCGTTGTTGTACGAACCCCAAGACTCTTCAGCATTCGAGGCCGTGACATTTCGTAAATAAGCCACTCAAGTCCCCGGCTGGGGTGTGGGAGATATATATCAAGCGACACTGTTTGACTCTGAGCCGGTGCAACAGAAAATCGACTGGCTGTCTCCGGCTGATGCCAGAATCCGACAGTACCACCTTGTGTACATTCAGCTCTCTGCTTTGAGAGTAACAAGACGAAAAGAGAGAGGGAATTGCAGCAGGAAAACGAAGAGCCTACCGGATCTGTGTATCCCCGACCGACCTCCCGTCTGCAACACTAGCTCTGCGCGCCCCATTTGGGACTTTGTGTTCTCAGATGCCTCGTGGTTGAGTCGCCATCGTCCTACCCACTTGGGTAGAAACAGATGCGCAGAGCGCCACTAGCACTCGAATCTGCATTTTCAAACGTTTTCTTTAATCCATCATGTCGAGAAACAGAGTCGAACAAAAGGTTATTCGTTAAGAAGCTTGAGAGAGCTGCGAAGTGAGGTCATGGACCACGCTGCTTAGCCGAACAACTCTTGGTCCGGCCCGTGTGCGACCTCGCCTCGGATTCCCTCAATGGTTGCTGCAGCGCTGGGCGACCATGTTTTCGGTAGCATGTCCTTGTCAAGAACTGGGGAATCTGAGAAGACAGGCATTTTGAAGCGCTTTGGCCTGCCGAGATGGTGTGTATCACAGATCCTAGGGGCCGAACTTCCCTCGTCTTGATTGATGAGGGTTGTACACCTGCTTGTGGAACATGAAGTCGGTCCCAAAATGATTCGATTGGCCAGACTGGGCAAAATGGTCTCGTTGTGTAAACTTCACCGTCAACTCAGCTCCATTTTGATTTGTCGTACAGGCTTTGAGTGTTTCGTCAATCGAAAGGTGCAGCCTCTCCATGGACATTCAGCCACATGAGAGATCCTATGAGATCCCATGAGATGGTTGGATGTGAGTAGGTTTATTGAGCTTGGAAAGGAAAGGAAAGTGACAATGAGAAGAGTGAATGGAGGCGCTTGGGCCATGAAAGATCCCTGACATTGCGTGTGAAGTCGGAACGGAAAAAGCGTTCGGTCCGAGATGCCATTGACTGGCTGGACTTCATCCCAGTGGTGGAAATTAGCAAGCCTACGATACCATTGATGTGCCCGACTTACCTTTTCTCTTTGGGCACATATCTATACTTGAAGTCCCAGTTACAAGTCTTCTGAGGCTATTCGACAGGACGAGATGATTATCTATCTTCCCCTATCCGTTCAGATGATGTTTTGCTCTACATCCCCCTTTCAACCACTGTAGAAGTCTGTAGCCAACATGTCTCAAAATGGGTTCCTGCATATGACAACATGCCACACTTACGACAGTGTCGGCCTAGCACATCTTAAGCACCATGGCCCCAGAGATCGGATATCAACTTCTTCGAGAGATCGGTGAAAGGCCAGGCCACTCAGGAGACTGTTGAAACGGAGAGCAACACGAATCTGACATCAAGTGGGCGCCAAGTCTCCGGAATATCGGACCTCCATCTGTACGGCCGCGTCGGTGAGTACTGCACAATGTCCTCGGGCGAGCTACACTCCTGCCAATGCCACCAACCTTGTTCGACACGTCAACGTCCCCGTCCAACAAAAAGATCAGGAATAGCCGGTTACCTGCTCCATCGTGGTTTGTCAAAGCTCCCCAGTCTTCTTGTCGTCCGAAATCAGATCGTTCGGCCTCTTCTATCCAGTCTCATCCGCTTCTCTTTTTGTACTCGGGCCGAGACCGCGGAGCTGGCGATCCAGGCCCTCCTTGGGATTGGGCACCACCACGAGGAGAAGGGTCGAACTGACTGTGCTATGCACTATCTCTGCCCAGGTCATACCGTCAACTCTCCGTACAGCCCCCAGAGCAGGGCTCGATTGGCAATCAGGAGTCGTGGCAAACCGAGCACGAACATCGTGACAGGTTGGCACTGACTCGGGAGCTATCTTCTGGCCAAATCTCTTCCACCGGTTGTCCTACAACCATAATCAACCACTGGAACACACGCCGACCTGACACTGTATCGATCCAGAGAAGGAATGAGTGCTACCCCCCGTCATCCCCGCTACTATGGAGTCGGAGTATCGGTGCTCCTCAAAAGTTCTGTTTGCAACATGCGGTAAGTAGATGACGCCGATGGGCCATGCCAGTGTCCAGCGGAAGGATTCCAGGATCGATCGTTGTTGCTCTCCTGCGTACACAAGTTTATGTCATGTTGGAGATGTTCTTGCGGTTCTCTGGGGCTGATTGCATGCCAAAGTGGACTGCGCCCCATCCCCGTTCTATTTCAAGGAACTAACTCTATCCTCTTCCCGTCTTCATGGCTTCCCTTGATTTATTCGTCGGTCTAATTGCAAGAAGCCGTTGATATCCGTGGGCTATGCTTTTGGAGAACCACACTCCGAGGAGAGCAGCGCGAGGACGAGCTGTACCGGATGAAGTTGCCCTCATGATCTTGATTCCAATGACCAATATCTTCCATGTCAGACGGTGATTATGTCTACTTCCCTAGGGTTGGCTCAGGATGCCCGAAGAAACAAAGGCCATTGATCACAACGAGTGACGTCCATGCAATCATGTTGACAATCATATCATACAAAGGCTCATTCCTGTACCAAGGGATCGATGCTGACCGCCAGGTCAAGTTCTAAGCTTCATGCCGTATGCTCCCGCTCCCGCATATGAGTGGGATAAGTGGATGGACTTGGCAGTGCCTCTGGCACCAAAGGCAACACGACTTCACCTTCAACTCATATTCACCTTTGAATATCAAGGCCGGGCCCCCTTGGTCGCCCGCCGTCAGGTGTCTGGTGGCAGAAAAGATTTTCAACTACCCAACCTCACCTTGGTTCTTCAGAGATTTCTCTCCTACCCTTTCCATCCTGTTTTTTTCTTTTCAGCCGATTGATAGCCTTTCCTTCTTCTGTACTCATCGATCCAGTCACGAAAGAGACAAAATCCTGTTGTCTGAGCTGCCCTCGTACAGTCAGATCCTTTTCGCGCGTCTCCCTTCCTATCATCTCGTCTGTCGATACTTCCCACTGAAGGCAATACCTTGGTTGGGAATTTCGTCAAGGCGGCCAAGATGGAAGACATTGCCATCGTCGGCATGGCCTGCCGCTTTCCTGGCAACGCGACGTCTCCGGAGAAGCTTTGGGAGATGCTGGTTGCGAAGGAGTCGGCGTGGTCAGAATTCCCCAAGGACCGTCTCAACATCGATGGCTACTATCATCCAAGCGGTGATCGTCAAGGCAGTGTACGTCTTCATCTCATCTTGTCCGGTTTATTTTGATACATCTCAAGACTAACCTGTTATACCTAGATCTCGTTCCGAGGCGCTCATTTCATCAAGGATGATGTCGCAGCTTTTGATGCGTCGGTGAGTAGCCATCAGCGTCTTCCCGCTATGAAGCATCATCTCTTCTAACTTCCATAGTTTTTCTCAATCATGGCCGAGGACGCCAAGGCAATTGACCCTCAGCAGCGTTTTCTCCTGGAGGTTTCTTACGAGGCACTGGAGAATGGTGTGTTGGCCCCCGATCTCTCGAATGATTTTGTGCTAATCTGAAATAGCCGGTCTTCGTATGGAAGACCTCAAAGGCAGCCCAACAGCTGTATATGTGGGGTCGTTCGTAAAGGGTTCGTCAATACTCTGCTGCTTTCTCATCTTGCCCTACTGATTGTCTCTAGATTATGAACAAATCTGCCTCAGAGATATGGACTGGCAGCCCCAGTATGCCGCCACGGGCACTGGAAATGCCATCATGTCTAACCGCGTGTCCTACACGTACGACTTCAAGGGGCCCAGCATGACGATCGATACTGGCTGTAGTGGAAGTCTTGTTGCAGTTCACCTCGCCGCTCAAGCTCTCCGAGCTGGCGACTGTTCAATGGTAAGACTATTCTATCGCCAATTTTGGAGTTCACAGACTGACTTTTCAAGGCCCTCGCCGCCGGTGCTGGTCTTATCTTCACACCCAACACAATGATGCCCATGACGGCACTCAACTTTCTCAGCCCAGACGGGAAATGTTTCGCCTTCGATTCTCGTGCGAACGGTTACGGTCGCGGGGAAGGCATCGGCTTCGTTGTCTTGAAGAAGCTCTCGGATGCCGTCCGAGACAATGACACGATTCGAGCTGTCATCCGTGGCACCCACGTAAATCAAGACGGCCTGACCACAGGTGAGTATTCCACGTTGCGAGGGAACTGGGGCACAAAATTCTGACGGTTTTACGAGGAATCACTCTTCCGAGCAAGGAGGCCCAAGTGGCCAACATCCGATCCCTCTACTTCAAGCACGACTTGGACATGAATCAGACAGCTTACGTCGAGTGTCACGGGACTGGAACCCAAGCTGGTGACCTGCGCGAGCTAAAGGCCATCTCCGAGACTCTGAGTGACGGAAGGCCGATCGAGAACCCGGTGTTTGTGGGTTCTGTGAAGACAAACATTGGTCATCTTGAGGGGGCCGCTGGGGTCGCTGGCCTGATCAAAGGCGTTCTTACCACCGAAAAGGGCAGGATACCCCCGAACATCAACTTCGAGCAGGGGAACCCCAACATCGACTTTGAGAACTGGAAAGTGAAGGTAGGAGCTCGACACTCTTATCTATGGTTCTCTCAATGTATGCTGATGACTATTGTAGGTTCCTACAGATCTGATCAAGTGGCCCATTCAAGGTGGACGGAGAATCAGCGTCAACTGCTTTGGCTTTGGTGGAACTAACGCCCATGCCGTTCTCGACGAGCCAGCTGCGTATTTTGCCTCACGCGGCATCTCCGCCAACCACAATTCGATTGTCGACAGCAGCCAGTCACACGATGACAACGGAAAAACTGAGATTCAGGTAGCCTTTTCAACTCCTCAGCTCTTCGTCTTCTCTTCGAACGAGCACAAGGGTGTATCTCGCTTGATGGACTCGCACCTTGACCACGCCGAGAAGCTCTCAGATGCTACCCAGAGAGACGCCGATAATTATGCATACACCCTGGGATGTCGTCGCTCGGTGATGGAGTGGAAGGGGTTCGCTGTGGCCAACTCTTTTGCCGATCTAATCGCGAAATTGACGGCCAGAGACGAATCTGGCTTTACTCGATCTAGTCGTGAATCAACGCTGAAGCTCGGCTTCGTCTTCTGTGGCCAGGGTGCTCAATGGGCTCAGATGGGACGCGAGCTCATGTGCTTCGAAGTGTTCCGACAACGCCTTGATGCGGCGACCCAGTACCTCAAGACGATCGATAACGACTTCGACCTCGCCGAAGAAATCATGCAGCCCAAGCCAGAGTCACGCATTCAAGAACCTCAGATTTCACAGCCGGCAACAACAGCAATCCAGGTGGCGCTTGTCGACTTGCTGCGGTCATGCAATATCACTCCCAGCAGCGTCGTTGGTCACTCGTCAGGAGAAATCGCAGCTGCGTACGCGTGCGGTGCCATCGCCAGCGAAGCGGCTTGGGCCTTGGCATACCACCGCGGCCAGAGCGCTGCACTTCTCAGAACCACTTCTCCGTTTCTTCAGGGAGCCATGTGTGCCGTCAGGTTGACCTACTCTGAAACTCAAGCGTACCTCGAGAGTCGACAGAATCCTGGCGATTTGGAGATTGCTTGCATCAACAGTCCGAACTCGATCACAATCTCTGGCGAGCTGGAGGATATTCTACACATGCGAGATGAACTCAAGTCGCGCCGGGTTCTTTGCAAGGTGCTGGATGTGGACATCGCTTACCACTCGAGGCAGATGAAGCTGGTCCAGGAGGATTACATGGAACGCGTTAAGTCCATCCGACCGACAGACACCACTGGCGATATCCCATTCTTCTCGTCCGTACGGGGTAGGGTGTATCCACATACTCTCCTCCAGAAGTTCTATTGGGTCGAGAACTTGGTTTCTCCGGTGCAGTTCGTTTCTGCAGTCAAGTCGATGATGGAATCTCCGAACAGGCCTGATATCTTGATCGAGCTGAGTCCCCATGCAGCGCTGGCATCGGCGCTCTCGGAGATCATGGCCGAGTATAGCCCTGGCAATCAGCCGATGTATCTGTCGCTCATGCAGCGCGAAAAGGACTCTGCGGCCACGACGCTCCAGGTGATTGGAGAGCTTTGGGCTCGTGGCTGCCCTATTGACATGCTCAAGGTCATCTCCAAGTAAGCTGGTCTCTTCTTTACACTTCCTCCATCTTACTAACAGTACTTGACTAGGGGCTCTGACAATCCCACGTACAAGACGCTTGTCGATCTACCATCCTACCCCTGGAATCATTCCAAGACCTTTTGGCACGAGTCGCACACCTGCACCGAGCATCGCTTCCGAAACTTTGGCCGCCAGGACCTGATCGGATCGCCCTCTCCAGATGCCACCACCTTTGAGCCGCGTTGGAGAGGTTTCTTTCGTATCTCCGAGAACCCTTGGATCCAAGACCATCGAGTCCAAAAGACCATTGTGTATCCGGCGGCAGGCATGGTCACCATGGCCCTTGAAGCCGCAAGCCAGCTTTCTCATGGCATGACGGACATTTTGGGATTCCACTTGACTGATCTGAAGATCGAGAGAGCAATGATCATTCCTTCTACGGCTTATGGACTCGAGTACTCGCTTAATCTGAAGCAGTGCTCTGCGAACTTGGAGGCCGAACCAGTGTGGGAATTCTCCATCTATTCAAAGCAAGAAGATGGTCCTTGGATTCGACATGCGGACGGATGCATCAAGATTCGACAGAAGGCTGGAGGTCTCCCTTCACCCGCTACGGGGAACGAGGCCATGTTCAAAAATATTCAAAGTCTTTGCACCACAACAATGCCTCCGCGACAGCTATACGAGATCCTGGATGTCGTCGGTCTCAACTACGGACCTTGCTTCCAGAATGTCGCGTCTATATCGACTCACCAGAACTCCTGTACCAGCAAGATTCGAATTCCCGATACGAAGTCGAAGATGCCAGCAAACTTTGAGTATCCTCATGTTATTCATCCCGCCACGCTGGATGCCATGTTTCAAACTCTCTTTGCCATCGACACCAAGCCAATGGTTCCTTCATCTATCGAAAGCATTTTCGTTTCAGCGAACACCCCTCACGGCGCCGGCTTCGAGTTCACGGGTTTCGCTACGGCCGAAAGGCACGGTCTTCGCGACGCAACTGGTTCTATTGTGATGGTGGCTGATGTCAGTGATTGGGAGACCCCGTCTATTGTTGTTGATGGTTTGCATTTCACTGCCCTGTCGACACCCTCGATTGAGGACGGTGGCTTCATCCCAAATCATCGCAATCTCTGTTCTAATGTCGTGTGGAAAGAGGACTACACCACGACGATGTACGCAGACCTCACCCACATGCTGGAGCTGATGGCTCACAAATACCCGTCTCTATCTGTTCTTCAATGTGGTGGGGATGAGCAGATGGCTCGACATATTCTGGAGACGCTCTCGAATGGCGCCAGGCTTCTCTTAACCCGCTTCACCATTACGGATGCCAATACGCTGTCCACCACGCAGAAGATCTTTGAGAAATCACCGGCTGTCAAAGTCTTGGAGTACCGTAGCTGGGAAGCAGTCAAGGAACACTCTGCTCGCTACAACCTGATCATCGCGGTTAGAGACTCAAGCGTGGATATGATCCAAGCAAGTCAGCTCCTGCTGCAAGATGGCCTTCTGCTCAATGAGGTCTCGCCTCCAATGACCCCGACCACCACCGACTCCTTGTCCGGATTTCAGCAGCTTTCCGATGAGCTCGCTTCGCTCCAAGTGTCTTATGAGCCCGACTTGGACGACGCCATTCGCTGCGACATGCTGGACCAGCATTTCGAGGTTCATCTCTTCGCCGACGCGTTGGACCCTGTTTCATCACCCGAAGTCGTCCTTATCTTGCCCGACAAAGCCGACGCAGCTCTCAATAGCTTTGTCACGTCTCTCAAGGATCTCTTGTCCGACAAAGAATTCAAACTGAGCACTGGCCTCTTGCATGAAGTCGACCCTGCTGGCAAGATCTGTATCGCGCTTCTCGAAGCGTGCGAGTCTTTTGTATATAACTGGACAACCGAGCAGTTCAGTGACTTCCACAACCTTCAGAACACAGCCAAGAGTGTCTTGTGGATCACCCGCGGCGCAAACAGACGTCCTACCATCCCTCAGAACGCCCCTGTCATTGCGCTTGTACGCACGATTTTGTCCGAGGATCCGCAGAAGGCGATTGTCACTCTCGATTTGGCCGAGGCTACCCATCTCACTTCATCTACCCTCCCCAAGGCTGTGTGGTCTGTCCTTGCTTCGATCTTGGCTGGATCAGTGGAGGCGGAGTTTGCGGAAGAGGGAGGCGATCTGTACATCCCCAGACTGATGCCCCAGGAGGAGCTCAACAGAATGATCGAAAATGACTCTCAAATCGAGGTTGTCCAGAAGCCTATTTTTGATCAATCGTCGAGCAAAGACAGCTACAAGATGGCCATTTCTCGGCCGGGCGTTTCAAACGACAACTTCCACTTCGTCAAGACCTCGTATCCTACAAAGCTTGGTCCTCAAGAGGTTGAGATTCAGACTCTCAGTGCAGCCTTGCATCTTTCTGATCTCCACACCGCCATGGGACGAACTGATGAAGATTTCCTGGGCATTGATGTTATGGGAATCGTAAGCAAAGTCGGTCGCGATGTGAGAGATATTCGCTGCGGAGAACAGGTTGTGGCCCTTGCCCCCGACGCCTTCAAGACGGTTCATCGAGTCGACCAGGGATTCGTCAAGCCCGCGCCGCTGCCGTTTGAGTGTTGCCAGTACACCCCAAGTGCCCTCATCGCTGCGTATTATGCGATTTGCGGCGTCGGTAAACTTTCCAAGAAGAAGAAGATTCTGGTCCACGCTGGCGCAAGTTCCTACGGTCAAGCTGCGATTCGAATTGCCACCCTCATCGGCGCCGAGGTTTTTGCGACGGTCCTGGGAAGCGACTCCAATGCCCAGCGTGCAACTCTCGTCAAAGCTCACTCTATTCCGGAGGATCACATCTTCGACGCAAATGGGGAGTCTTTCGTGGCTGATGTTCTCCGATTTGGAACGGTCAACATCGTCTACAATCCCACTCAGGAGCACACTGCCATCAGTTTCAAATGTGTAAAGCCAAGTAAGTCAGCGTGTCTTTCCAACTGGTGCGATGCTAACATCATTTAGCCGGCTGCGTTTTTCAGCTCTCCGACAAAACTGGCAGAGCTGTTAGATCTCCAGTTGTTTCTTCCATGCTGTTCGTACGTTTCGACGTCGCCACCATCATGGAGGATGACCCTGAAATCGTCATGGAACTATTTACCATGGTAGACCAATTTGCCTTTGACTACTTGCGCAAGAGCTCGAGTTTGCAGTGCCAGCCAGTCCACCGGTTCCCCATGTCCAACTTCGAAGGAGCCTTCAAGCAAATCGAGAGAGCGCCCCAGCACGGCCTTGTCACCATGACAGCTGACCGCGGTACCCTCGTTCCTGTAGCCACAGAGATGCGAACCAAGCCGCTTTCTGATGCCATCGACCCCAAAGGCACCTATGTACTTGCTGGCGGTCTAGGAGGCTTAGGAAGGAGCATCGCAAAGCTTCTTACAGACAATGGTGCAAAGAAGCTGGTGTTCTTGTCAAGATCTGGCGGCAATCAAGATGCTCAAGACTTCCTTCATCGTCTCGGCAAGGAAGGTGTCCAAGCCACGGCAGTCGCAGTGGATATCACAGATCTTCAAGCACTCAAGGCACTCGCTCCAACTCTGGGGAAGATCTCTGGAGTTGTTCAGTGCGCTGCAGTCATTCAGGTCCGTACCCTCACTTCCCTTGCCCTGTACCCGAACATATACTGATAGACAGCAGGACGCTCTCTTCGAGAAGATGAGCTTTGCTGACTGGCACGCCGCCTTCGCTCCCAAGGCAATCGGCGCTGTCAACCTCGCAGAAGTCTTCGGCCAAGGCCCCAACCCCGGCCCGGCCAGCCCCGCCGCCCCTTGGTTCCTCTTCCTCTCGAGTGCCTCGGGAATAATCGGCAACCGGGGCCAAGCCAACTACGCGGCGGCCAACGCCGTTCAAGACGCCCTCGCCCAGGCCATCCCTCGCGCCGTCTCCCTGGCTCTCGGTCCTGTCCTCCAGGCCGGGATGCTGGTGGAGGACGAGGAGACCCTGGGGAAGCTCCGCGGTGCTGGGTTCTACGGAATCCGGCACCAGGACTTCCTGACGATGGTCGAGCGGGCCATCACGGGGGAGGTCACCCCCGGCGTTCAGACGAACCCCCAAATCGTCTCGGGCGTCGGAACCGGTGGCCTCATTCGCCAAAACAACCCCGGCGACCCCTTTTGGTCGCGCACAGCGCTCTATTCGTACATGAATATCGTCGACGTGCCGATCTCCTCTCCGGAGGGGGGCCGTGATGGTCCAGGTGAGGCCGACGTCAAGAAGATGCTCGCCGTGTGCTCCGGGGCGGAGGCGGCCGCGGTCATCATCTGCACCGGCCTGGTGCAGTTGATGGCCAAGGCCATGTCCCTCCTCCCGGAGGAGATTGATCCGGAGCGGGCGCCCAGCGCGTACGGCGTCGACTCCCTTGTTGCTGTAGGTGTTCGGAACTAGATTTTCCGCAACGCCGGGGGAGTCGACGTCTCCGTCTTTGAGATCCTCGGAGAGACGTCTGTTCGGGGCCTGGCTGGTGTTGTTGCCAGCAGGGGCAAGTGGTGAGGGGCAAGGGGCCAAGTTCCCCAAGAAGACTGGTGTGTAGCGGTCCGGAATGAAACGAAAAGGACCGGAGTGAGACGACCCGATTCAGTAGAACGGGATTGCGGCTGTCTGTGTGTGAATGGGAGGATACAAATGGGCGGAATGGTGTGTTTTTGTGGGGGACCGGATAGATCAACGCTTTAGAATTTTCTGGGCCGGCTTCGCGTTTTTAATCATTAATTGACTGTTCTATATCCATGCAAATCTGGGTGGAAAGCGAGTGTGTTTCTACTTCTGACAGGTATCACAGTGAGAGGAAGCTGCCAAGTGTTTGTAGCAAACAGCAGTCTCCATCCTGGTTGTCGGAAATGACCTAGGGAATGCCCTTGTATCAAAGAGCGAGCGAGGCATGAGACGCTCATGAATGAGTAATTTGAGTAGGCATCTTCTCCTACCATCCATTGAGCTTGTGAATCAAGGCACGAAGCGAAAGGTAATTGAGATATCTAGGTGTGGTAATGTAGCAAGAACAATTCAAGCCACAGCTTAATGACAACACTACGCACGTCGGTGGCAGATCATATTGAATAACATAACCGCCTTTGGGTAACTTGGTTGAGGAGCGGCGGTAAAGAGCCCTTTCATTGAGGCGAATATGGTCATGCTGTGTTCATTGAAATACAATCATCTACCAGAGGGTAAGGTCGAGGCTTACTAACTGAGGGTGTCTAGGAAGCGAGCATGACGAATGCCCGGCTGGACAAAATTGCAAGGCAGTAATCGGGCTAGACATGTGCCTCAGTCTCCAAACTATAAGGCATCTTGGGTAGGCATGCAGGCTAATGGCATGAGGCTCGCGAATGGCAAGTAACCTAACATGACGAGGAAATTAATGGACAGAACGCGACAGTGTGGTAGAACATCGGGGAGCAAACCAACCGCCTGTGCCTCATGCGAGCCCCGGTGAGACGAGGAAAAACTGGAATGAGCAGAGTCGGTTGCAGCCTGGGGCTGACTGCAAGTATCCGGGTCACCGAGACATGTTCGAGTGAGCTCCAAAGTCGAAGGACTTGAGAGTAGTGAGATTGACTATAAGTCAGGAGCCTCAGTGACTCCTTGAATCATGTGCATACTTATATTAATATGAGAAGGAGCATTCTTTAAAGGAGGCTACCCAGTCCTCGAGTGTTAGTCTGAAGAGCCTCACGACGTCAGGTCTCATCTGCAAGAAGTACCCGAGACATAAATGTTGAAGTCATGGGCACACTGATTGGGTGCCTTGTTCAAACCGGTGAATCAAGACATTCTACTTAGGTCGATACACCAGAGGATGATGGAACAGAAGACCTACACCGAAAATGCTGGGATGGGGCTCTCTAGGCAGTCATGGTAGGATTGGTGGAAGGGGAAAGTGCAATATGCATGCGCGGGCCAAAGTTTGGACCCTTGAGAACACCAGCATCGTACTTTCCCCAAAAGGTAAACACATGGGGGGGTCCCAGTACGTACCTACTCGGTCGGTACGGTTCCTCTTAAAGTATACTGAAAATTTGGCCTGCAGCTGCCACAGTGCCTCAAAGTCCATTGCGCGCTCCAATTAACGCGTCGCGCTATCCCAGGTGACGGACATGACATCAAATACTTCCATTGGAGGAAGCTGCGATAAGATAAGCAAATAGCCACTGCAAGCAGGACCGTGAGAGTCTACCTCTGCCTAAAGGTACCATCTCCTTCATGCGACGGGATGATAATTATTGCAGACCTCGTACATTACCCGACCAACACTCTCGTTTAGCAGACCAGGAAACCAACCCAACAAAGATTGAGAAGGCAGCGACACCTTTGGCCCTTGTCCCCAGTCCTTGGAGCCGAACTGTTCGTCCCTCTTTCTGTCTCTCCGGCAACAATCTTTCCATTTCCATCACAACTCACTCTGCCGACAGAGATCGATTTCTTCCTGACGACTGCACAAGGTACTTCTACCACTTCGGCTCCCGACCCATCTCCGACAGCCTGCTGCAGCACAACATCAACCTCTCCAGCACCCAGCAGATGTTGCAGCACCGCGCCACACACCTTTTGACCTCATCGCCTGCAGCTCGCCTCATTTGAGCGAGGAAAGGGAAACTTCGCCCCGTCACCGCCGTCTTGCCCAGCATCCCACCGACCGACCGACACTGACACTGCGTTTGCGCAACCAACAAATATGGACGACGACCCGGCTGCCACCCAGGCCCGGGACAAGGAGGCACTCAGGAACCTCGCCAACGAAATCCTGGACCTCGAGGGTGAACGAGACTTTCGACAAGCCATCGCCGAATCTCTCGCCGACGGGAACCCGAGAGACTACGAGAACGCTTTTCGAGAATACGAGTCGGCTGCGAAGACGATTGATGACAAGACACTCGAGAAGCAGCGACTGGAACAACGGATTCGGGCAGCTAGGAACTCTGCGCGACAGTCCACTAGAGACGCTACATTCGGAGAAGACGCAAACATGAGAGCGGCTAGGGACCGCTGGGGAGTCGGTACGTGGATATTTTGTTTTGCTGAGTTGTTGAAATGCCTCCCCAAACTGCCCGAGTTTTGTACTTGCGACTTGTTTCGATTCCGGTCTTTGATTCTTCAAGTGAAGAAGTGAGCCATATCACACGAGCGACTAGTATGCTAGTTCTGGAAGTACGGCCTGAAGTCTGACCTATCTATCCATCATTTCGTGGTCATGGCGATCTTGGTGGTCGATGGGAATGACTGTATTGGGTTTGTACTGAAAGGCCTTGTCTTCTGCAATGTTACTTGAGGCAATTGGTCGATTATCAAGATGTTGCCTGAACGAAGGCAAGGAGTTCTCATATCTATGAGGTGGCTGTGCACAGTCTAATGGCATAAGGCAGGCGGTACTCTCAGTGCCGCTCCTGCCTTCCCAAAGCAACCCAGTCATGCCTTGCTCCTGCCTACCTTAAGGTGGTTGACGCCTGACACTTCCTCTTTCCTCTTCCTCCACTTGTTTCCCACGCCTTCCACAGCCTCTGATCATAATTTGAATTTCTCATATTTCACCCCTCATTCCTCCCATCTCTTTACACGAATCTGGAGCTCGATTGAGACCTCCCGCCTTGGGAATACCTGCTTTCCATCATCCTTTTCGTCACCGTCTCAATCATTCCTGACTATCCCTCGCACCTACCCACTGCCAATCATGCTTTTGATCTGAGCATATTTCAGTCTGCTTGATTCATTAGTAGTGTCTTGAGACCCTGATGAGTATCTCTGATACTAACACTCTTCCAGCCAACGTGCCTTACAGACCGTCTTCCGGGTCTCAGAACGCAGTTGCCTCTCAAGGACCGTCGAATAACACTTACGCCATGCCCAACATGGGTTCCGCTCATGCCGGCTCGGCCTCCTGGAACCCCTTTGAACCGCCGCCGCTCAATCTAGGCAGCTCGGAAGGCCATGGAAATCCATTCAACAACAAGAGATCATTCGGCTCCGCCTATGAGTCTCTGGGACAGGCCACCTCAGGCCGCGACAAGTCTCAGCGCACAGCCGATGTGTCTGATGTCATCGACCTTACTGGGTAAGTACAGATTATTTTGCTGCTGGGTTGGGCTTAGGTCCGGGCGTCAAATGACTATCATTTCCCAAGGACTAACGAATCTGGCAGGGACGATGATGATGTACACACCTCGTTCATGTCGCGCTCAAGGCAAGCGGAGGCACAGGAACGAGGTCGTAGAGCCGCTTCGTTGGCACGCGCTTCCCGTCAATTCTCTCAGAATCCTCACAACGCCAGACCTCCTGTGGTGCGTCCTATCCCAGCTATCCCAGGGACATATGGCATCGGATATGCCAACGGCCTACAAAATCCGAACAATGGTATTCCCCAGGGATATGCCAGCCCGAGCTCTTCTTCGAGTTTGACTTCAACCCCTGGCGGAGACTTCATGCCCCGGATTCCTGGTTTTTTCATTGACGATGAAGATATGAACTTTGGTTTCACGCCGGCTAGCCAGATGATGAACCGTCAGCTAGCCGGTCGGAACGGATACCTTTCTGCCAATAGATCTTCTCTCAGCACCTCTGATGTGATCAACAGAGCCAACAACATGAACTTCATGGACCTTACCGACGGCTCCGGAAACCCGCTGGATGCTCGCGTTGTCTCCTTGATGGAGGACATTAACAATGACCCTCGCAGATCCAAAGAGGAAGTGGAGGCACTTCTACGCAACGTGCACGCCGGCATGGATATCCCGGAGGAAGATCGAGAGGGAACTCCTGAAGCTATGAGATACCCGCTTTATTCGCACCAGAGAGTTGCGTTGACGTGGATGAAGCGCCAAGAGAAGGGCACCAACAAGGGAGGTATTTTGGCCGATGACATGGGTCTGGGAAAAACAATCTCTGTTCTCTCCCTCATGGTGTCACAAAAGTCGACCAAGCCAGGATGCAAGGTAAGATTGCTCTTCATCATTCTCAGGCGATGCTAACTCACTCTCACAGACCACTTTGATCGTGGCTCCGCTGTCCCTGATTCGGCAGTGGGAGGATGAGATCAAGAAGAAGCTCAAGAGTGGCCCACCCCATGCCTTGACTGTATACGTCCATCACAGCACTCAGAAGGTCAAAGCCCAAGAATTGATGAAGTACGATGTCGTCCTCACCACCTATGGTACTCTTGTCTCGGACAGGAAGAAATACGCGGCTTGGATCAAGGATTTGAACGGGCGTCAAATGTCGAGCAAGACCGACCCCAATTTGGCCAGCTCTGTCTCCCTGTTCCACCCAGATTACTCAAAGTTCTATCGCATTGTTCTGGACGAGAGCCAACAGATCAAGAATCATAAGGCGCAAGCGGCTATGGCGGCTTCCTACCTGCAGAGCGATTATCGTTGGTGCCTATCTGGCACCCCGATGATGAACGGCGTCGACGAGCTCTTCTCTCTCTACAGATTCCTGAGGATCAAGCCATACAACGACTGGTCTAAGTTCCGCGGCGCTTTTGGAGTGCTCTTTGGGAAGAAAGGCGACCCTCAAGCCCAGGCGATGAGAAACTTGCAGGTTCTCCTCAAGGCGACTCTTTTACGCCGGACCAAGAGCTCGCAAATTGATGGAAAGCCCATTTTGCAACTTCCAGAGAAAACCGAGGAGGTGGTTTACGCAGAGTTGGACGAAGACGAGCGCAAGTTCTACACTGATTTGGAGACCAAGTCGCAGGTTCAGATCAACAAGTACCTGCGAAAGGGCACTCTGGGCAAGCACTACTCTCATGTATTGGTGTTACTTCTCCGCCTCCGCCAGACTTGTTGTCACCCGCATTTGCTTCTCGAAGCAGACGATGCAGTGCCTGAAGTCGATGACGATATGCTCAGTCGCGTCAGAACCTTGTCTATAGCTGTTGTTCAACGCCTCACTGAGAAGTCCCGCGCGCTCGTGAGTGCCGACGCCATCAATGAAGGCTTTGAGTGCCCAATCTGCTACGACATGATGCCCGACCCGACCATTCCACTGCCTTGTGGGCACGAACTCTGTGCCGGCTGTCTCAAGCAGCACGTTGACAATGCTAGGCGGGAGAACATTAGAAATGGCGAAGACGAAGGCCAGGTCAAGTGCGCTGTCTGCAGAGGCACGTTGGACCCGGCGAATGTTATCACTTTTTCGGCGTTCAAGAAGGTATACATGCCTGATGACGCTGCTAGTGGAAGCTCTGAGGATGAAGAGTCTGACGGCTCCGTTTGGAGTAGCGATGATGACGAGGAAGAGGACGAGGACCAGGACCAGGATGACGCCGATGCAGACGACGCCGACAAGAACGGCAATCTCAAAGGCTTCGTCGTTCCTGATGGTTACGCTAACATTAGTGATGATGAGGACGAGCTGTCAGGGTCTCCAGCGCCAAAGCCCAAGGCGACCGAGCCAAAGGAGAAGAAGAAGAAGAAGAAGAAGAAGTCGAAGGGCAAAATGAAGGCTGCGAAGCCCTCAAGCAAGGAGTCGAAAAAGAGACTGAAGAAGATCAAGGGCAGCCAGTTGGCTACGCTTCGAAAGAATGCCAAGAAGAATGCTGGTGCCTGGCAGGACTACACAAAGTATCTGAGTCACCATTGGCTTGCCTCATCCAAGACCAGGGCTTGCGTCGACCTTCTCAAGAAGATTCAGGAAACAGGCGAGAAGACCATTATTTTCTCTCAGTGGACGATGCTTCTGGATCTTTTGCAGGTCGCTATCAGAAAGCAAGGTCTCAACATCAAGCATTGCCGCTACACGGGAGAGATGTCGATGGCACAGCGTGACGACACCGCTTTCACTTTTTCGAACGATCCGAGCATGAAGGTCATGATGGTGTCGCTGCGCGCCGGAAACGCTGGTCTCAACCTTGTCGCGGCTTCGCAGGTCATCATCATGGATCCTTTCTGGAACCCATACATTGAGATGCAAGCTGTCGATAGAGCTCACCGCATCGGCCAGCAAAAGCCTGTAAAGGTACACCGAATCTTGACCCAACAGACGGTTGAAGATCGTATCGTTCAGCTTCAGGAGAAGAAGAGGGCGACTGTGGATGCCGCTTTGGACGAGCGCGAGGGTGCCAAGTTGGCTGGCCTCAGCTTGACTGAACTTCGTTTCCTTTTCAACCTCTGAGGAATTGTCCGAACGATCTACTCTTGATTTTGAAGTCTAGTTCGGAATGATGTTTGTGGAGGTTCACGACACCACGATTTCTGACGATCTGGGTCGGGAGGCAACCTTTTCGGACCAGATTTGGTCATTTCTGGGAATCGAATCAAGCAGGTTTTAATGAATGGTGTTGGGGGAGAGGTATTACGAATCGCTTATGACTGGCATTTTATTGCATCCGCATCACTACAGGGAACAGGAAACGATGGGAGTGGGAAAGCATACCCATAAAGAAGACATGGACACAGAAGAAAGGCTTCACAGCCAACGCAACGGAAGGAATGTCACTGGGGTGGGAAAGGAGGAGAAGGGGATATCAAGTGTCTGCCACTTCGCCTGTCACCCCACCTTCTTTCTCTTTTCTTTTGTCGTCACAGATTCCATGAGGCGTCTAGGGTACAGGGCCAGGATCAGGCTCGGAACGGTATGGCTGCCTTGGGCATGCCGAATTCGTTTCACGGAATCAAGGAAGGATTGCTAGATCGATAGAGGTTACCAATACAATTGCTCATCAGGAATCGTGTGTCCCCGCAGTTGATATGTACGTCATGTATCCAGGCTGCTACCGAATGTCTCGTTGGTTCACGAGACGGATTCGCTCGTCAATTATGAAGGTCTGTCGAGCAACATGGCTTACAGAAGTAGAGAAATATCTATGAGATTATGTATTGTGAATGACTTTTTTAATTGATGATGGCGGGTAAGGCTAAACTACCTAGCCTCATCGTCACTATACATCCTCTGGCTATTTACGCCCGGGTTTGATAAATGACGAGACTACTAGTAACACCAACGGCAGAAGGGCCTTTCCGATGATCCGCAAATAGACGGGCACTTCACTCGCTTTTCAAGACCAATCCTTCGTCTCCTCCTTGACCAGACGGTCCAGGTCAATCTCCTAGACATCCCTGGACTGAACAACAGCGGCAACAATGTCACTGACGGGAGGTTGCGACGATGATGACGAGGAATCGCCATCTGCAGCCCAAGACCAGCGCATGAGGCGAGACTTATCCCCCACACGCCAGGCGGCGCCAATCTGCAGCGTCGGTCGGTTCTCGGGGCCACTGTTGAGAATGTCGAAGCGGATTTCGCGCGTCTCCGTGTCGATGTCGCGGATGGCGGTGCCGCGGACGGACTTAACCCACTCCGCGGGTGCAGGTTCCGCAGGGGGTGCAGAGGGGTTGGAGGGCTGTTGCGGCGGGGGGATGAGGGACATTGCGTAGTCTGTGAGTGCGTGGGCCGCTGCGTTTGTGATGTAGAGCTGGACGGAGGCGATGTCTGGGTACGGGTCGCGGGAGGGTGGGTAAGAGGACTGGAGGGTGTTTGGCGGCGGTGCGGGGGGCTGCTCGCCATTTGATGGTTCGCTTCCTGATGCTGCTGCTGCGTTGGGGAGGAGTTGGAGTTGGAATTGCGTTGTTGTCAGCGGGTTGAGGAATGTGCGGCCGCGGATCTGGAGGCGGGAGGTCGGGATCAGGGTCAGCTCGATCTGGAAGTCTGCTGAGGACGTGAGCATGTTTGTGAGTGCTTGTGAGGCGTTGGGCCGGTTGGAGGCTCCGCCCGAGGTGTTTTTCAGCTCGGCGGTCGGGAAGGGAGGGGTGTTGAGGGTGAAGGAGGCGGCGTGGACGCCGCCTTGTCGTAGCACGCGGGTGAGGTCGCCCGCGAAACTGGTGACCTGCTCAATGGAGCGGTCGTAGAGGATTTTGGCGATGATGGGTCTGAGGAGGTGGTACTGGTTTTGTGTTTGGTTGCGACGTTGGTGAGGGGGCGTTGGCCGCAGTCGTTGTAGCTCGTTCAAACGGTGAGCATGGCTAAGGAGGATGTGTAGACCTAGATGCGTTGCTTCGGCAAGGACGTTGTCGGGCGATGCGCCGACGGTGGCGGCGCTGTCCTCGAGGGTCTCAAGCTCCAGCGTCAGACTCGGCCCGGAGCTGGGGTGAAAGTTGATGGAGTTGTTATCCGCGCGGACTCCGTACGAAGCGAGAGAGTGTGCTTCGCGATGGAGCTCATGCCAGAGTTCTTGTGCGAAGATGGTGTTCCGGGCCTCGAGGACGCGATCCGGTAGCAAAGCTGAGTCCGGTACGGAGGTCCCAACAGCGAGACGGCCGCTTGGCTCGCCTGATCTGCTGACGGTGATGGCGAGGCGTTGGCAGCCGGATCCGACGCGGCCGTGCTGGAGGAGCGCTGAGCCGTCATCTCCGCGCCGCAATGGCGCGAGACTGCTATTCCTGAACTCAGGTGATGCTGTGCTTGGTTAGCCCTGTCTGATACTCGAGAGGGGGAAACGGGCACCTGCCTTCTGAGAAACCGAATCTGACGCCGAGGGTATGCCGTTCCGCGGGCAGCCTGCACATGGACCATCCGGCTTGGTGTACCGACAACACCTCGCCCCAGTACTTTGCTTCACGCTCCACTTCCTTGCTCAAATGGGTTGCTGCCTTGTCGGCTGACTCCTTTGTCTTCTCGATGTCGAGCAAAGCCCAACCCAGAGACACATCGCAGTTGTCCTTTGCCTTCTCAGCGTCCCTTTGCTTCTGTTCTTCGTTGTCTTCGCGCTTAGCGATACCAAGGGTACCAATGCCGGTCCAGTCGCGCAGTTGCTGGGAGAGCGTGACACCTGCCTGGGCAGGGCTTTCTTTCGAGAGTAGTAATGAGATGAAGTCGAGGGTCATTAGGGCGGCGTTTTGCGCGGTACTGGCGGCTCACAATCAGCCATTATTTCTGAGGGAAACATGTTCATACGGGAGAACCAACTCTATGTTTCTCAGCACTTCCATCCGCGCGGCGCCGGCATCTGGTGGTTCCTCGTTCTCGTCATCTCCATCGGCCATTGCCGTGTCTTCCTCCTTCACCTCGCCGACGCCATTTTTCTTGTTCTCGACCTCCTCTTTCAGACTCTCCTCGGTGACATTTCGAAAGCCGCGCTCCGCTTGTACGCGGGCAATGAACTCGCCGAGGCTCTTTGGTTTGCGATCGCCCGTAGGTACGGGGTGGAGGGAAGAGAAGGGCATTGAGCTGCCCGACGCCATGGCGGGCAATTCGTCGGTTGCGGGGTCGCGCGTCGATCCTCGGGAGATTTGTATGGGGGATTGGAAATTTGGATGTCGGAAAACTATAATGCGCAGGACGGCTGCATGGCGTGGAAGGAAGTTTGCGTCGCGAACGGTGTTGAGGCTGCAGTGCAAGGCTGGTGGTTGAATGAGAGCAGGAGCTATGGATTGGCTAGAGCCACCGAGCCGGTCCTAGCTCCACCGAGCGACCAAAGGGTGCGCATTTTCGGTGAAGCCACCAACTAACTCACCGAGGGTCACCGATTTGAGATCACTTGCAACAACCCGTGTAGGCCACAACTCTCCTATTCTAGCAAAATGATTGTCTCTTCTAAGGTAGCTACCGGTCTTGCTTGTGGGGATGCGTCAAGATTCAAACAGTGCCCGATGTCATGACATGGGCTTGCGAGTAGTCATGACAATCCTCATTGCTATCACATAGTCTATGAGAGGATCGATCGGACAACGGGGCCTCGGGATCTCATAGCAGATCCATGGCAGAGTAACGAATCTGCAGGCACGATACTTGAAGACACATCGATGGCGGGAAGATCGGAAGCACGTCGCCTCGACGATTCTACGCAACCATGGTTCGGTTGTCTCGGGGTGTTCGAATTGATCTGGAAGTTTATTCAAAATTCCCTGTCAGAACGGAACGCTGCACCTTGGACTCTAGTATGGCTTGTAAGTGCGTGCGATTGATGTCGACTCAGTCTGGTGCTTGACAATTCTGAGTCGACAAGCACGACGATGAGACTTAACTTAACTCAATGCGGGCGATATCAAAACTGGCAACTCCACACCAATCATGACTGGAAGCCAATGATGGCATCCAGTTCGCATTATCCATGGATGGAAGGCACGGAAATGAGGTGGACATGATCTTGCCTGATTCTCGGTTGTCCAAAGCTCAAAGTCCTGATCATCGCATCACAGTTTTCAACGGTGACGTTTGTCGCCGTGGGAATAAGGGTTCGGCGGAACTGCTGAAAAGTGAGGCCGAGATATCTCGATATCGACTTGATTATATCGTCATGTCTGTTGCACCACTTTGAATAAGTAGAGGTGTCGGACGACTTGTGAGTTGGTATGTTGATCTGGAAGATTCACCGTCGTCGCCGCCGCCGCCGGGACTTCGGAGGAACATCCTTGCATCCCTGCGAGAGACCGGCCCTCCACCGTGAGCGAGTCACTGGCGTATGGATCGAGTGACGATAGTGATGTGCGTAGTTCAGATAGAGCTAGAAAATTGGGCGCATAGCCTAGATAAACCAGCATAAAGTGCTTCTATGAGTAAGCGGGCACATGGAAAATAGGCCGGCTATGTCTAGAAGATGGCATGCGATAGATAGTACATTGGATTGATTCTTTCTTTTATTGTTGATTGAATTAGCAGATGTCAAGAGAGAGGTGCGCGGAGCCTCCCTCACCAAAGCAGCTTAAGGCGTGCAGACAAACCAGCATCCACCTCGTGGATTGCCTGACATTCTCGTCGAGTCCTTGCACCGGCCGTCGGCCAGCCCCGCACTGGAGCTTCGATGGAGGGGCATTTTTGGAGGGTTGGTAACTTGGTGCAAGTCTGGACCTGGCAACCGGGGTGGATTTTGGTGCGACTTGTGCAAGGAGCCCAGAATAAGCCCGAGATGGGACGCTGGAAGAGGCCGACTGAACCTTGCTTGGTGGTTTAAACCCCTCACCGGCGACCGGAGTAAGAGCGAGAAAAAACAACACGACGGAGACCAGTCACCAGTCAGTCGACTCGCAATATTCCTAGTATTTCCCTCACTCACCAATGGGTGTGGCGCGAAATAGCTTGACACTCTGCTATTGTCGCAGCAAATGAGCGATTAAACCAGTCATCCCAAGTTCCAAGACATTGGCCAGCACCAAATGCAGACGGTTGCGGTTGGAGAAGCTTCTGCAACACATCGCGGATCGACGAGTCCCTCAGCAGGCTCAGCTGAAGAAAAACGTCCCGTCAAGGACCTAAGTCCACTGTAACCGGGCTAGCCAGTAAAACCGTTGCATCGTTCCTGATTCAGCAACGTGAACGGTTTCCCATAGGCTCGCTGTGACACCGGTGCGGCGTGCCCTGCACCTGTGACGATGCTGTGCGGCGGCCTCTGCGGCTTTTGGTCTGTCGAAGGTACCTATATTTCTGTGAGGTGGGCTTGCCTGAAGCTCCCCCGCGCCAAGATAAGGAGCCGATAAGAGCTGGGCGGGCTACTTTTGAGGGCACTCAACGTCACTGCGCGGGCTCACTGTTGGGGGAGGATGGAGGGGTCGGATCATGGATGAGGGCCGGACGGGAAGGTGTGGTGAGCTGAGGTCCAGTGAGGTAGGTAACTTTACCTACCCCCTCCCGTTCCGCGTGTAATTTTTCTGCTATTTTTTCGAGGTGCGGATGCTCCAAAGTAGCTCCGACAACTTGGTCCCCCGCCATTAAACCTGTCTGGTCTCTTCTGCCCGCGAAGTGCGAAGCGTGAGGTGTCCCACGCTATAATTATCTGGCACACCAGACGGCCTATTTTTCTGCGGCGTCCCCCTCCGTCCCCAAGCCCGGCCAAGTGTGTCTCGCAGCTTCCCCCCCTCGACCTATTCCTGTTCCGCGTCCAAGCTCCAACCACCACACAGCTTCTTCCAAGCACTTGGCGCCTGCTTCGTCTCGCCTGGAAACCTCATGATCTTTTCCTCCCTCACTCTTCCTCCCTCCCCATCTTCTCTACCTCACATTCCTACTCCGTCTCCCTCCCTGATCCCGTACACGGCCCGGTTGGCTCGTACCATCATCCCTTGAACATCTTACCTCCAGCTCCGTAGAGTATCCCCTCCACGCCAGACCTCGACCGACGGACCATTAGACCTTGTATACGGTCCCTCTGCCCTCCTCCGCCTCCCTCCCCCCATTGACTCCGAAGTTCCGACAACCTACGAACATCACCTCCACCACCTCCACCACCACCACTCTCCGCCGCAATCATGGCTCCCACGGCTGCCAAGAAGAAGATTGCCATCATGACCTCGGGAGGTGACTCCCCAGGCATGAATGGCGTAGTCCGCGCCGTAGTCCGAACCGCCCTCCACATGGGATGCGAACCCTACTGCATCTACGACGGATACGAGGGCTTGGTAGTAGGCGGGGACCAGATCAAAAAAGCAGAATGGGGTGATGTGCGTAACTACCTTGGCCAAGGCGGTACTCTGATTGGGACCCGACGCTGCATGGCCTTTTACGAACGACCCGGCCGTTTGACTGCTGCCAAGAACATGATTCTCAACGGAATCGATGCCCTGATCATTTGCGGTGGTGACGGTTCCCTCACTGGTGCTGACAAGTTCCGCGCCGAATGGCCGTCTCTGATTGAGGAGCTTGTTTCCTCCGGCCAGCTCAAGAAGGAGCAGGTTGACCCCTACAGACACCTCAACATTGTCGGTTTGGTTGGATCCATTGACAATGACATGTCGGGCACCGATGCCACCATTGGATGTTACTCTGCCCTCGAGCGCATTTGCGAAATGGTCGACTACATTGAAGCCACGGCCTCGTCCCACTCAAGAGCCTTCGTTATCGAGGTCATGGGTCGCCACTGCGGTTGGCTGGCTCTCATGGCCGGTGTTGCGACAGGCGCCGACTTTATCTTCATCCCTGAGAAGCCTAGGGAGGAGAACTGGGAGGAAGAAATGTGTGATATTGTGAAGAGAGTAAGACCGGACAACCTGGCAACAGTAGTAGCTAGGACGATCGCTGACAGGCTGTAGCACCGAAGCTTTGGAAAGCGCAAGACCATTGTCATCATTGCCGAGGGCGCCAACGACAGCAACGGCAAGAAGATCACATCCGACATGGTCAAGGATCTGCTCGCAGACAAGAACGGACTCGCTCTGGACACCCGCATCACAACACTTGGTCACGTTCAGCGTGGCGGTACCGCCGTTGCCTACGATAGAATGCTGGCTACCCTCCAAGGTGTAGAGGCCGTCAAGGCCGTTCTGGAGGCTACCCCCGAGACCGAGACCTGCTTCATCGCCATCAACGAAAACCAGATCTGCCGCAAGCCATTGATGCAGGCTGTCAAGGATACCAAAGAGGTCGCAAAGGCAGTTGACGAGAAGCAATTTGAAAAGGCAATGGGTCTCCGTGACACTGAGTTCGCCGAGATGTTCAGCTCTTACATGATGACCACAAACGTCAGAGTGGATGACCACCATCTGCCGGAGAAGGAGGTTTGTCAACTCAGCTTCAATTACAAGAGAGAACGGAAAATTGACAATCTCGCAGAGAATGAAGATTGGCTTCATCAACGTTGGCGCCCCCGCTGGTGGTATGAACGCTGCTGTGCGCGCTGGTGTTGCTTACTGTCTTTCGCGCGGCCATGAGCCCGTCGCCATCCACAATGGCTTTGCCGGATTCGCTAGGCATCATGGCGATAAGCCCGTCGGAGCTGTACGACCTTTCGACTGGCTTGAGGTTGACAGCTGGGCCAGCAAGGGAGGATCGGAAATCGGTACCAACCGAGAACTTCCTGCAGAGTCGGGCATGGAGCTCATCGCCAACCTGATTGAAAAGTACGAGTTTGACGGACTTTTCCTCGTCGGTGGCTTCGAGGCTTACCACGCCGTTTCGCAACTGCGCAAGGCCAGAGAGCTTTACCCTTCTCTGTGCATTCCAATGGTTCTCTTGCCAGCTACGATCTCCAACAACGTTCCTGGGTCAGAATACTCACTCGGCTCTGACACTTGCCTGAACGAGCTTGTACAGTACTGCGACAAGATCAAACAGTCCGCTTCCGCCACGCGTCGTCGTGTATTTGTTGTCGAGACGCAAGGTGGTAAGTCTGGATATATCGCGACCCTTGCTGGCCTCAGTGTTGGCGCGAGCGCTGTTTATACACCAGAAGAGGGTATGGACCTCGAGATGCTGGCCGCTGACGTTCGCCATCTCCGTGAGATCTTCTCCAAGGACAAGGGCCAGTCTTCATCTGGACGCTTGATCCTCATCAACGAGAAGGCTGACGATGTATTCAACGCCAAGCTCATTGCAGACATCATCCGCAAGGAGGCGCGCGGCCGATTCGAATCTCGTGACAGCATCCCCGGTCACGTCCAGCAGGGTGGCGTTCCCTCGCCCATGGACAGATGCCGTGCCGTCAGACTGGCGATCAAGTGCATGCAGCACCTCGAGGAGT